TGAAAACATTACCCTCTCCTCTCAGCTTTGTCAACAAAAGAAAGAATACAGTGAACATAAAGGCAAACATGCAGCAGTTAGGATTTTTCACTTTCACAATCTTTCTAGGTGAGAATTAGAGACAAAGTAAAAGAAACCTTTAAATGCTTTAAATGATTGAAACCATTATTTCTAAACTCTTATTTAATCAGACCACATTACTCATATTTTACAGACATTTCTAAAAACTGTCTCTTGATTTGTTTTTGTTTGTTTAACTTTGTTGCCTTACAAACTATGTTCAGTTCTTACTCCTGGCTCTGTGCTCAGGGATCATGCCTAGAATTCCTCAGGGGACTGTATGTTGTGTTGGGGATCCAACTGGGTCAGTTGCAAGCAAGGACGGTGCCCTTCACCCCCAAAGTCTCTCTCCAGCCCAACAGGTCCTGTTTGAAGTCTCCTTGTGTCTGACTAATATGAGAAGATGCTTCTTAAACACCATGTTCTAGAAGCAATCCAGGCTCCTTAAATGAGCTCCCCTATAGTCTGTGAAATCACCCCGAGGAACTATGCTCATGCATTTAGTGACTTGAAACAGCACAAATCTGCTTTTATACAACTCTGGGTACTGGAATTTCAAACCTACTCACTGGATTCAAACCAATGTGCCAGCAGGCAGGCATTCTTCTGAACATTCTAAGGGTGAATCATTTTCCTTGCCTGTTTGTTTCTAGAAATAGACTACATTCTTCCACTTCAGAACTCTCCCTCCATCTTCAGTATGTACCAATCCTGATGTTGTCTCTATTATTCAGTTCTTTTCTATCTCCTACTTATAAACACCTTTGTGATTATCTTAAGTTTATCAGAATAATTCACTATATAATCTCTCAATATCTTTCAATTAGTCAAATTTACACAGTCCCCTTACCATACAAAATGATATATTCACAGACTTTGGGGATAAGGCAAGATGGTTTCAAAGGCAGGTAATGGATTTTCAACCTGCTCTGTGAAGATTCAGTCCTATATGTTGTGCAGATAAGAAGCATATAACACTTATTGTCGCTGTTAACACCATGAGAAACAAAAACATAGAGATGTGGAGGAATTTATTTAAATTAACTTCCCCCTAAATGGGCAGAAATATCAGATACAGATTCTTCTGACCTTAGCTCTGTCTGTTTCTACTATACTATTCTGTCAGAAACAGAAGGAAGAATCCCCACCTAAAGACTAGATTTAAATGTTTCCTTATGAACTAGAAATTTATAAACTATTTTAAAACGGCTATTATATGAGAAAAAAACATTTTAGGCTAAATAACTTTGTAGTCATCTTTAAAAAAGTGTAAATGGGGATGGGAATGTAAATTGGGTAAAAAGAAAGAGTAAAGTGTATGGTTAGGATAGATAAACAATTAAGTGATAACATAGCATCATCATGATGTGATTTCATCATGAGGTTCACCTAAAATATATATGTTATAGTACAATGCTACTTTACTCACACATACAAATATGTGATTTGAGGGCCACACCTGGCTTTGCTCAGAGTTTATTCCTGGCTCTGTTCTCAGGGATCTCTCCTTGAAGGCTCAAGGGATCTTATAAATAGTGCCGGGGGTTGAACCTGATTAGCTGCATGTGGCTGAATTAAAGGCAATTTCTCTACCTTCTGTACTATAATTCCAGAACCAATAAAATAATTTTTTAATTGGTCAGACTCATTTAGTTATTTTTTTTATGTAGGAGTACTGCTATATATTCAGCCACTAATTAGCTGATTGAATTGTGAATGAACTCCACCTTACTTTTTATTTTCATTTTTTATAATTTTATTTATTGAATCACCATGAGAGCAGTTACAAAGTTTTCGGGTCTAAGTCTCGGTCATACAATGAAACACCCATACCTTCACCAGTGGCCATTCTCCACCCCCAACAACCCCAGTATACCCCCATCCTACACCCTCCCCCTACCTGTGGGGCAGATGATTTCCACATTACTCTCTCTCTACTTTGATCACAATCAATACTTTGACAGCAGACCCACCATTATTATGAGATTTTACCCCAACACTCAGATCTGCTGAGAAGGCAACAGTAGACATTTTTTTTTCTATTGCTGGTTATAAATAACATATGATGCCACGTGGCTGCAGTAGTGGCAGTGCGATTTTGAAATTCCAAAATTTTAACACTTAAATATGAAGGGATTTTTGCCAAACCTGCTGGGTTCCGAGATTTGATCCTGAGTCTCTGGGATCATGGCCATTAAGCAGCTTGATCAGGAGCCAGAAAGGCTATTCGTGGGCAATCACTTGGGATCTCTTTGGGGTGGGGAGGACAGGCCCGGTTCCACCCCCATCCCATGAGATGCAACATGTCTCGTCACTGCTGGCCCAAACCTGACTGTCCAATGCCTCTGTAGGATGATGGCCAGCGAGCTGCCAGGGGGAAGCAGGTGGAGGGACACCACCCTTTCCCCCGTGGGGTGGCCCAGAGACAGTAACCTACTGCGTGGTCTGGACATATTTCTGCCAAAAGCTGCTGGGTTTCAAGATTTGTTTCTGAGTCTCTGGGATCATGGCCATTAAGCAGCTTGATCAGGAGCCAGAGAGGCCGCTCGTGGGCGATGACTTGGGGTCTCGTTGGGGTGGGGAGGAACGGGCCAGTTCCACCCCCATCCCGTGAGGCCCAACATATCTCGTCACTGCGGGCCCAAGTCTGACTGTCCAATGGCCTGTGGATGATGATGGCCACTGAGCCACCAAGGGGGAGCAGGTGGAGGGACAGCACCCTTTCCCCCCTGGGGTGGCCCAGCGACAGTAACCTACTGTGGGGTCCGGATGTATTTCTGCCAAAAGCCACTGTGTTTCGAGATTTGTTTTTGAGACTCATTTAGTTCTTACTCTCTTATCTGTTCAGATACTGAAATAACTGTGAATCCTAAATCTATAACTACAGGTCCAAACAAATTCAACAATCCTATAAACACTTTTCTTTCATATTGACAAAACTCAGTTTTTTTTTTTATATCTGGAATTAAACTTACCATTTTCACTTATAGTTATGTTGAATCTCAGTCCTTCTCTAACTCAGAAGTGCAACTGTAGATAACTCTCCTATAGATAATCAAAATACATGGCACCTTTTCAAAAGTAAACATTAATCCTACTCACTTTTCTTTTTCTTTTTTTTTTCTTTTTGGGTCACACCTGGCAATGCACAGGGGTTACTCCTGGCTCTGCACTCAGGATTACTCCTGGTGGTGTTCAGGGGACCATATGGGATGCTTGGAATTGAACCTGGGTCGGCTGTGTGCAAGACAAATGCCCTACTTGCTGTGCTACTGCTCCAGCCCCTCTACTCACTTTTTTTTATCTCATTATTCCCAACTTTTTAACTGCTAAATTTATTTCCATTCTTAGATTTCCTTGATCACATCCTTAAATATTAAATAGAAAAATATCTTAATAACATAAATTGTGGTAGTGGTATTTCAATTTCTTTATAGTACCTAAAACTTCATTTTTTATAAAGCCCACAGATGTCCTATGACATAGAATTACCAATAGATGCCTTTCATAGGACATTTGTGTGTTTATTTGTCTGGATTACTATTAAGTCTCCTTCACTCATAAAATTGCCCTACTTGAATTATGAATTACACAGTCATTGTATTTCTAGGACTCAATATAATAAATCCTCTGCCTAAAATAATATTTTCACAGGCCTGTCCTAGAACCACCCATGTAATAACTTTTATCAAGAATGTGAATAACAGCATTTAATACTATACCTAATCATTTCATTTGTTAAATATTTGTTGATGGCATTATGATAAGCAGAGAGCCAAGCTCTTGAGCATATGTTTAACTTCTAAACATTTTAGTCATCATAGTACCCAGCACATGCTAAGCATACACAAATATTTTTCTGAAGGATTAGGAACTAAGTGAATTTTCCATACAATTTTTTCATATGTCAACATATTTAAATAATGAAAATGTGTTCAAGATATTAGTGACCAAATCTAAGATAGGGTAGAAGAAACTACTTTTGTTTGCAGGAAACTGGTTGACTAGAGAAGGTTCCATGAGGGAAGGAAGTCCAATCAGTGTTGATGGATGAAAATGATCATGTCATATGACTCATGAAATGATGACAAAAAAATTTCTAAGCTAAGGAAATGGCAGTTGCAAAGACAAGAAGAGTTTAAAACGTGTGATTATTCAGGAACTCAAAGGAGTTTCTAATATTAGAGTGCATAGTCCTGCATATATTACATATTAATACCATGAATCCCTAAGGACAAAACCTAAATTATGGTGAACACTGCAGGAAATGCAGAGAGGAGCTAAGAAATGTGAAACTTAGTTTTGTTTTCATTTAGTGTGCTAGGAAGACTTGAGAATTTATATGGAATATTTTGCTGCACTTATAAATTATAGAAATTCTTTCCTAGACAGGTAAATCAGTTTTTGAAGGGTTTATATTTCCAGCTTTATTACCATAAAGAATACTCTCAATTGGAGTTTATCGTACAATATTCACAAAAGTATGATATATGATCCACAGGCATCTATTTAAGATGTAAGATTTATAAAACTAAACTAAGTTTTTGCTTAAATATTTTTATTGTATTTTAAATATATAAAATTATATTTTAAAAATATACTTTATCCAATTATAATAGTTTGTTTAGAGCTAACAAATTAACATGTATACATATGGATTATATTAATGCAAAGATGAGTTTATACTGAATTCATGGGCTTAGAACTCATTTCTGTGGTAAATAATGGTAAACTAATGATTTAAAAATAATCTAGGTCTAATTATTCAGAAGAAAAACATTTTCAAGATAATTCTGATATAGGTAATTATAAATGGTTTCTTTGAAATAGAAAAGTATATCATAAGCTTTGAACTTCCATGCTCAAAGATGAATAATCTCCAACAATTCAAATATTTAAACTTATGTGTAAATTTGAAGAATAATTTGATGGGCACTTACCTTAGCTATCTGGACACACCAATTAAGCAGCAATTGTGATCCAATGTTATCCTTGTGTTCGTGGACATAATCCAATAGGCAACCGTGTGGCATTAGCTGTGTAACCAGCTGTATGGTTGGGCTCAGACACACACCTAACAACCGGACTAAGTGCGGATGGTCCATACTAGCCATGATCAGTGCTTCCTATAAAAAATATAATCAAATATATGATGTATAAAAAGATGTCATTTTAACTCAAAGTTTCTTAATAATTATATTATGGTGCTGAAAATGATTTTCAATTATGTACTCAGTGGAAACAATTAAAACACAAAGATATTATTGTACCTATCTGTAAAATTATTTCATTCAAGTGAAATTAAATGAAAAATAAAGACTATGAATTTATTAAAATGGAAAAAGTATAGAATGATGTATAAAATTATTAGTTGTATGTTCTATTTTTAATATAAATGGTCATAGAGTTTTGTATTGCCAAGTAACTGAAAACTAAATCCTTTACTTATTACATGATTCCTTGATTGTTGTCATTATAAAACAATAATCTACTTGCATATAATTATTGGTAGGTAAAAGTAAGATGACCAATATTAAGTCAACCGTTTTAAGTATAAACTTAAGGAAGTACATGAAAGTATAATTTATAAATTGTAAGTATGAAAATTAAACAATTATTAAAAATATGCCCATTGTCTACTTATATAGAATCATTTTGATATTGAAGCAACATTGCATGATAATTCATCTTTTCAGGTATGCATCATTAAAATTAAGCATGCATTATATTAATTAAACCAAAATGAACATTTTGCTTGTAACTTTGCCTTTATTCAATTCTAATTTAATTTTCAAAATTAGAATTATATATTATTCAGTAAACTATGAGGAAAAAGTTTTGATTTTTAACCATAAGACACTTTGCTTAATGGAAGTACAATGTTCATTATGTAAAAATAAGCATATGCTGGTTATTAAGTGTATCTTAAAGTTAATTTCCAACTAAAAGTTATCCTAAGTTGCATTGTTAGAATTTGAAACAGATATAACTTAATACATAAACACAGGGTAAGGAAATCTGACAGCTTATTTTAAATCACCATTATCATCACGAAGATATAAAAATGTTTATTGTACCAAAAAATTTTTGCATTGTTTCTGACATAACTTAGTTGTAGCAATAGTTTTAATGCAAATTCATTGATATGAAACTTCAAAATCTAACTAAAATTTTTTAGGTTCTATTTAAATGGCATCATTGATCAAATACCAAATTTCTTTCATTTCGTATTTCCAATACACTTTTTAAAAAGGAGAATTAAAAGGCAGACAACAATTCTAGACAGGAGAAAATAGGCACAGGATAATAAAATCAGGACAGCTTACTAGTATTAACTTACTTAGATAAAAATTAATCTGAAGGACCACTTTTCAGAAGGGCGAGAAAACCGAGAAAGCATTTAACTTACGCCACAGGCATACATCCCTAACAGCTCAAATTAGGACCACAAAACACTGAACTGAAGTAGGAGGGCTGACTTCGGCAGGATTGCTTCAAGAACTATTTCAGAAGCACTCGACTATAGATCTTCTCCATCCTTAGGAGAGCCTAAATCAAAATGATTGCAGGCTATGGAGATTAGGCACAATGGAAAATGAATTCTCTGATGAAAATAGCAGGCTTATGTAAATTGGTTTATGATGAAAATTGGGACCACTCTCTAACTTCTTCTCCCAAATGTAACAGACTTTAAAATTCTCAAAGTTCTAGAAGGCTAGGGAAATAAATCTGGAGCATATATTTTGCATGTTTGAGACTCCTCCCCCCATTCAGTCCCCAGCACTGAAGGACATGTGGGGTGCTGCAGGATGAAGCATTGGAAGCTGCTAAGGTAATCCAGGTGATCCACAGGGTGGCCCACTGGACATCAGCAGCACCATGTCACTGGCAGTAACACTGAACCTTAACTTTTGCACTGCTGGGAAGTATATCACAAGAATGCTTAGGTTTGCCATGTAAATCAAATGAAAGTGTATGCAAGTATGTTCAGATATGTCTGCTCTTAAAAGTTATTTCAGATATTCCATTCCTCTGTTCTGTGTGTTCATAAATTAGACAGAGATGGGTAAAGGTGACCCTTGAATGGAGATCATAAGGGAATGACAGTGAAGGATATTCTGGAGTGACAGCTATTCAACAGACTGGGATAATACTAGTCTGGATTGGAAATGGAGCATATCTCTTTAAACGTGAGTTAAAAAGATGGAACTGCTGGAATACCTAAGAGTTTAAAAGAGAGTAAAAGAACATACATTTTTTTTTCTAGCAGAAGTTAGAGATAAAATAGGAACAGATATACAAATACACGAAAATTAAGTTACACACAAATGTAGTACTGTCCTCCTGTTGTTTATCAATTTGCTTGAGTGGGCCCAGTAACATCTACATTGTGAGACTTGTTACTGTGTTTGGCATATCAAATATGTCACGGGTAGCTTGTCAGGCTTTGCCGTGCAAGCAAAATATTCTCGATAGCTTGCTGGGCTCTCCGAGAGGGGTGGGGGCATCGAACTTGGCTTGGCCGGGCCGGCTGCTTGCAAGGCAAATGCCCTACTGCTGTGCTATCGCTCCAGCCCCCACACACAAATGTAAAATGATTAAATTAAATTCAGGTAAAACAAAATATGCAAGAAAAGATGAGCATATTTATGTCATAATACAACTGGTAATAATTAACTAAACATGAAATTCATGACTGTATTAAAAAATGGAGAAAGGGAGGTTGAATTTCTACCATTCTATGAAGGAAATGACAGGTATATACCTATCATTCATAGAGAAAAGGTAGTAGATGAGGCATAGAGCCAAAACATAATTAAGAATGGGAAGTTTTATTTAGATATATGGAGCCAAGTAATAGAACTAGTTATCAAAAAATAAAAAAATGATGGCCAGAGAGAAAGTACAATGTGCAGGGCATTTGTCTTCCATATGACGGACACTGATTTGATTCTCAGAACCATATAAGTTCCCTCAAGCCCACCATGAGTGACTCCTGAGCACAGAGTACAGAGTAAACACTGAGCACTGCAGGGAGGGATCCAAAACAAAAGAAAAAGTAGAAACTAATTTTATCTGATGGGCTGGAGCAATAGCACAGCAGATAGGACATTTGCTTTGCATGCAGCCTACCCGGGTTCAATTCTTCCGTCCTTCTTGGAGAGCCCAGCAAGCTACCAAGAGTATCCCACCTGCACGAGCAGAGCCTGGCAAGCTCCCCATGGTGAATTGGATATGCCAAAAACAATAACAAGTCTCACAATGAAGATGTTACTATGCCTGCTTGAGCAAATCGATGAATAATGGGAGGAAAGTGCTATAATGCTACAGTGCAGAAAATTATGGGCTTGGGATGAAAAAAGAAGGCAACTGAACACCAATGCCTTTCATCATTAGTAATAATATTCAATTTGTATTATGACCTTAAGGTTTGAGGGGACTTTAACTTCCACTACTATATAAATGGTGCTGGGTTCAGAAAAGTTTAAAAAGCTTGTGTTATAATGGACTCTGTCAGATGGATTTACTGAATTCAACTGGTGTTTTTGTGATGTATAATATTTTATTATTTGAGTTAGGAAGAGAAGAGCAGTATTTTATAAAGGAGGGAAATATATAAGACCAAACAGAAGAAATAAGGTGGGAAAATGGTGCTAAGCCAAACAAAGACTTTGTTTTTTTGAGAATTTCTTGGCAGAAGATAACATTATTGTCTTCCAGATCACTTCTAATTCAATTAGTTTCTCAAATGTCCACCCCCATGGTCACCCATGGGGAAAGCACCTTTTTGCTTCTGTGCTGAGCTCACTTCCCTGCAAGACTCTGAGGACAAGGAAGGACTTATTGCCTACTTCTGACAGACCAACAGTGGCAAACACCAAGAGGCAACATCTTTTAGCGCCTCCTGAAAGGTCTTAGGCTTGCTTGGCTAGAACTAGTCATCGGTCCTGGGTAGGGCCTGTCAGTAATTCAGTCACACAGTCACTCCTGGATGGGGTTGGTAAGAGGGGCTGTCAGGGCTAGTAAGAAAGGACAGTACAGATTCAAGAATAAATGCAACTGAGATGGTTTATTACTGGATATGAGACAGCTAATTTTATTCCAAACTATAAGGAAAAAGTTCCTTGAAAGTTCCTTTGAGTTTCTGTATACTCAAAGACAGAAATTTGAGTTGGGCTTTTAATCTAAAGCCCTGAAGTAGAGTTGTTTTCATTGTATTTATTAAACAATTTATCTATCTATCTATCTATCTATCTATCTATCTATCTATCTATCTATCTTTTTTGTTTTGCTCCAGTTTAGGGTCAAACCCAGCTATTCTCAGGGAATTACTCCTGGCTCTTTGTTCAGAATTCAACCCTGGCTATATTTAGTGATCATATGCTATTGTTGCCAATTATCAATTCCAAGTCAGCTGCATACAAGGCAAGCATGTACCCACTGTATTATCTCTTTGATCCCTCAGTAAATATTTGAAATAGAGCAAACCAATATGACTACAAAGGAAAAAACACATAGGGATGCTATCCAAACTAAACTAACTATAATGTATTCTATAATAATAATTAGTCATTATTTAATACTGAACTTCCATAGTGTTCCACAACTTTGTTTCTTGTCTTTCATCCTGAAAATGCATTTGTCTGGTTCTAGGATCACACCCAACTGTGTTCAGGGCTTACTCCTGGCTCTGCATTCCAGGATCATTGCAGCAGGGCTCACGGAACCCCATATGGCATGTCAGCAATGGAAGTTAGATCAGTCAAATGCAAGGCACATGCCCTACCCACTGTACTATCTCTATGAACCCTCCTCTTGAAAATTAGGACTCTGTGAGGGGTGAGGGTAAAGAATCAAACATACTTTTGGAGGTTTGTTTTTTGTAGATTGTGAGAACATATGTTCGTTCAGAGAAGCTTTCCATTATGTTCTATAGTCTCAGAAGTATAAAGTTCTGAGCCAAGGCAGAACTTTAAGGTTGATTTTGCATTGGTAAGGGCTAGCCAGACAGGATTAGTCACCGGAGACATCACATAGAAAACCCTTTTAAATTCTAGTCTCCTTGCTCTTCATTGCTGAAACACATATCCCCATCATATTTCTCCAAAATTCTCTATACTTGACA